AATTTATGTACTCATTAAATTATAGTTCAAAATACGAAGTTCTTATCAGTTTAAATTAAGATAAATAATGTTTAGATTATTGGAGGGTAAAAATTACCCTTTACTAAAATATTTTAAAATAACAAAATGACCATTGCGTAATTTGATAGACATTTGTATAAAATTACTTTGATAAGGGTACCAATTTATAAGAGTAAAATTAATTTCAATTTTTCATCTAGTCCCTGATAAAAATTTAAAACTATTTCCTATTAGAAGATATATAACTTACGATATGTACCATTCTAAATAAATTCAACCGAATAAAATAATCTTAAACACAACACTATCAATGTAAAAAAAGATTTGTAACTGTACATATATTGCTAAAATAAAATATATTTATATATTTTATACTAATATATTTAGGCATTTCTCTATAAGAAACCACAAATGTAGAAAATCTAACTGAATAGTGTACTCATGCACTCCTATGAAAATAACTTTAAGCATAATCTACTTAAGTAGAATTCAGCAAAAAAGGGAAAAACAAAGAAGGAAAACCCTAAAATTTAAAACATAAAAAGGCACTGTCATCTGAGATCTCTGCTTCACTACAATGCGTAAAAAAGTAAAACCATTATTTAACGAGGCTAACTGTGACAAAGAAAGAAAAACGGTCAGGTCTTTTACAAAATGTAAAACGGTTTTGCAGCAATGTAAAGAGACTTACGAGTGGGATAGATGCTTTCCTCAGAAAGGCCTGCGGTAAAGAAAATATAGGGTTGTTACTAAAACATATAAAACAGAAAGAAGACATATTCGTGAAATGCGTTTATGAGTTTGAATTTGCTCTGTACGCACATCTCTATCTTCATGAAATGCAACGTCATTTATCACTTTTCTTTAAAAATTTCTCTGTGACAAAAGTCTTGTGGGATGTATAAGCAACCGTGTTTAGATCTTCGGAACTTCTGTGCGAAGAAACATCCCTATGCGATTCAAGTAGATCCTTTTTCGATCTGTGACTAATTGGCGAATTTTGACGATCGCATTCCTGGTAATAAGGCGCGTGCATGATCAAATTGATACTGTCAGTTCGATCCTCCTCGCAATCACGCAAGTACTCGTTACTTTTTGATCGTTGATGCAACTGAGAATTTAAATCAAAACATTGATCTAATTGTGGGGCACGTTGCTTTAAACTTACGTCCGATACATTGCTGACACAATCAAAAGACGTAGGCGACCTTTTAAATTTATTCTCGTGGAACAAACCTAAAGAATTTTTGGAAACAGAACTATCGTTCGAATGTTCCGAATCAAAATTGCAGAGCTCCGATTCGAGGCTCTCGAAATCTATTCCTTCTCGAGAATTGGCCGCTAAGAATTTAGGTATTGCGCTACTTTGATCGGAATCGCGTCGATTCAATTGCGGTATAAATATCGCATTATCTAAAACATTGTATTCTACTTTAACAGCGGTGGACTTGTCATCGAGTGCGTCCCGACTCCCCCATGCCTTCATTTTATTAAAGACTCTTAATGGACTTTTTGACATCCTTGATTTATGCTGAGACTTTTTGCCAACTGAGTTCTCAGGACTTGACTCTAATCCATCCGCATCGTTGATTTTAATTGTAACAGAATTCTTCCGTTCAGCACTACACGGAGAATTCAAAGAACTTTTTCTCGACCCAGAGGGGGAACGAAAGAAATCAGCGAGAGCAGCTAACCGTGATTCAGAGCTATCTCTACGTTTCGACTCTTTCGATTTACTTCTGTCCCGTTTCTTCTTCTTCACACGTTTCGCAGTGCCGACCAAACTAAATCCTACGTTTTGTACACAAGTTGAAGAACACGAGTACTCCCAATCACCAGCTACGTGTCTCTGACACTTGAGGGGTGAGGCTTTGAAATTGTAACTACTAGCAGTAGGCTTTGAGTGATTATACGCAACTACAAGATGCTCATCCGAGAAATGTGTTTTGAGATTGTTCGCCGATTTGTTATGCATTACCACCGACTCGTAAATATCGTTGTCCACAATAACCGAGTCTTCGTTTATATTGCAAGGTGGACAGCTCGTACTTTGCACAATGTTGTTAGAATTTTCTGGAATGTTGTTATAGCTATATCCTGGCTGATTGTCTATCAAATTATTTGCTGAGGAGTACAACTTTCTGGAGGAGGGGTTACCTATTTCTTGAAGAAGCGGGGAGCGGTGCGCGCTTGCCAACAGGGCTGTACGCAGGGGTGTCTTTTCGAGATCTGGAGCAGAACGAGACCACCGCTTGCCACTTGGTGACGCAGGATTTGGTGGCTGTGTGATAATAGCCCCACGCTCTCGTTGGTGGAGTGTCGACGGTCCCCAAGTCTTACCCTTTACTCCGTCTGCTGGTACTAAAGAAGGAAGACAAAAAACAAAACGCTACTCACTACAATACTAGTTCTTCCACCTAGGCCGGACTCTTTGCGAATTCTTTGCGCGTTTCAAAAAGATAAAGATGTTTTTCTCTTTTCTTTCAGTGAGTCAATATCCAATTTTTACAGAGAAAGTTCAAATATTTATTATGAATTAGATGTTCAACAAAATTAAATAAAGTATTTGCTATTCTTTTACTTGTGCAGCTTCAACGTTTCGTACTTAAAAATTATATTGAAACAGAATTTGATTGAACAAGAAAAGAATATGCAACGTAAATTTTTAAAAATACATAAGAGTGTATTCAATTATTCACGCCATGCTAATAAAGATAACAAAGAAAACTGAATACAACGTGACTACAAAGCACAAACAATGTGATTAAAAAATTTCTTGGAAGTACAAAAAAATATCATAGGGCAAAGTCATTCATATAATACCACACGTATTTATAATTATGAACTACTAAACGTTGATCAGATATGTCACTCACATGCGATTGCCCGAAGTCTTGGTATGCTCGGAGAACCTGGTGGACTGTTAGGTCTCGACGGATTCCGTACTTTTCCTCTGTCCAAGGCTGTATGCTGAACAGTTATCGTGTGACGAAAATCTGAACAAAGGTATACGTATTAGGATTATCGTATCAATCATTTAATGGAACGTTTGATTGTATTTAACTTACCAGAAGGAGCGCTAATGTTACTACCAGGCTCTTTTTTATTTAATTTTAATCTCGATTTTTTGAATTTTCCGCGGCGCTTGTTTGGTGTAGGAGTATTTTGTTGCTGAATTATCATTACAGTGAGTTCGCGTTCTAGTAAGTCTATTTCCCGGGCAGCCAATTCTTGTTCTCGCTGCCTTAAATTTTCCTCGTGTTGTCGTTGTTGTACTTGTGCTTTAGTTAATTCTTCTTCCCTGCAGCGCAATTCCTAGTAAACAAATACAGAAAATGTAAAAATTTATTATACCTCCATTTAATAAAATAATCACATCTGTAATCAAAAACGAAAATAATTTATAAACATTAATAATCACTACGTGTATTGTCTTACCTCTTCTAATGAACGACATTCCTTTGTATAGCATTTGAAAAACGATTAAAAATGTTATTTATATTATTATAAATGAATCAAGTTAAAGATAGAACATTCAAACAATGTTTTCTTTATATTGAGACTATATGTATGATACTAAAAAGATATGATTGTATACCTTTTCCTTCATGCGCAGTCCATGAAGAACTTGTTCAATTTCAAGTCTCCAGTCTTCTTGCATTGTATGAAATGATTCGTGTGGTGTTGCTGCAAATGCGCTACGTACTTCATCCAATTCTACAAGGATTTCTGCAAATCCTGGTCTTGAATGACTGTCTGATGCCCAGCAAGCTAAGTGATAATTATATGTTTCTCATATTATTTCAAGACTTTAGTAAATGAAATATTTTTTATGTTCCCGTAGTAAACATTTTTACAATGATATACCTTCCATTAAAAACCTCCAAGGTTGAGGACAAGTTGATGGAATGGGCAATGTAAGTTTATTTACTGCAACGCCATATGCTACTGCCAGCGCATCTATTCCTTTATAAGGTGTTTCACCGGTCAGAAGTTCCCATAAAAGAACGCCATAACTGTAAATGGATAAAAAATTGATCAGTAAAAGAATTAAAGAAATATAACTTATTCAATCATAATTTAATATGATTAAAATGATGTAGGAGGCACATAAAACTGACCTCCAAACATCACTGGCTTTACTGAAAGTACTCTTTTTAATAACTTCTGGTGCCATCCAGGCATATGTACCAGCTGCTGACATACGAGTTGTTTTATAAACTTCTCTTGCTAATCCAAAGTCAGTTATTTTTAATGTTTTATATTGTAGATCGTCATTTTCAATAGGCTCGCTTAACAACACTGTTATTGATAAAAAGAAAAGTGGTATTAAAATAGTTACACATTTGTCGTGTATGCAGAGTTTATATAAACTACAATCAACATTCGGAAACTATTTTACCATTAGAACTTTTTAGGTCCCTGTGAATAAGACTTATAGGAGCTTTATTATGAAGGTAGTCCATGCCACGGGCTATTTGTATGGCCCAATCAACAAGTACATCAGGCCTGATTTTTCTACCACTAAGAACCCTGTTCAAACTACCCCCTCTTGCATATTCCATCACGAGACACATATTTGGCATTTTTAAACAAACTCCTTCTAACTGCACAATGTTTTCATGTTTTAATAACCAAAATAATTTTGCTTCTTGTTGAACATTTTCTAATGTAACACTTGGATCTTCATCTGGATCCTGACGGGCTGCTTTAACAGCCACTTCATGTTTCTGCCAGAATCCCCTAAAATATTATTAGATATTACTCATATTATTCAAAGACTCGTTCGTTGTATGAATACAAATGTAATTGGGTAATAACATTAGAAGATAATATTTTATACCTGTATACTTTTCCAAATCCGCCAACTCCTATCACTTCTTCTAATTGCAACTCTTCAAAGTCAATTTCGACTGGTTGAACTTTATCGATCACCGATGAGACCCTATCAATACTTTCTGCTTCTGCCACAAAATTGGCTGGAAAAATTCCAACTTTGCCATGGATTTTTCCAGTCCACCAGCCCTCGTCGCCTGAGATTTTTGAATCTTTCGATAGAACCTGAACCAAGCGTACCAAATAAAATACATATATTTTCACATTTTTATATGTACTATTACACTTTCTGAAATCCACTATTATAAACAATTTACCTCAACTGTTTCTCCCCTTTGCAAGGATAACTCATCCTCACCTTGGGCAACATAATCAAACAGTGCTGTGAATATTGTTGAACTATTGTCCTGTCTTGATTGAGATGAGGAATGTGTACCATGAGAAGGACTAGTTTGTTGAGAAACAGTTCTTGCTGTGCCGCCACTGTGTGTATCGGACACACTGCTATCAGACATATTGTTGCTAGATGTACGCCCATACAAATATCCGTAACTAAAAGATAAAACCCAAGCGAAGTCCACATTATTCATGTAAAATCCATATTGAGAAGTTCAACATTGATATATTGTTAATAAATGAATTTTGTACCTTGTGGAATGATTATTTGTTCTATTATTATGTTGATATCTCGGAGATGAGTTAGCTGTGTTAGGACTATGAGAGTTTGAGGAGCCATTCTCTGGATGAAGTAAAAATCGCTCGCTCCGATGACGAGCATCTGGTTGTCCGTGGTCCATCAAGGTAGACAAGCCTCTTGCCGATAACCCGGCTGGCGGCATATGGCCCTATGCTCTCCGTATTCTTCTCCTTTTTGGAAATTACACCTTACTCGTCTGGTAGATTTTGTGCAATGTAGTGTTGATCGAATGGTGAATAGTAACATAAAATGTTCTAACTGTATTACTTGTTTATCTTAAAATGAACTAAATAAACATACATATGGATATATAAGAATCAGCAAGTTTTATGTCCACCTTCCATAATTTTCTAACACTGTACACAAATCCTTGCACATTTCACATATTATTTTATAAACATGTCTCTTGAAATCATTATTAACACGAGAACAGAAAATAGTTACATGACATTTCAAAAGTATTTTAAATGTACGCACACGTTTCGTGTGAAAATTCTGGGGTGAGAGAAGGTGATCACCACCACTAACACCCCGTGCATAAAAACACTTTAACAGTGACCGGCATTTTGATTCGCGAGTCCGGCACCAACGCGCGAAGATTTTCTGATTTTTTGTCGAGTATCATAATCCTATTGGGATTACAACGGAATGAAATTTTCGAAGAGTAGAAAAAAGCTCGATATACCGAAAACCACTGTAGAGCCTCGCGTCGGGGTGTGTATACCCACAAGCCACTGTTGACGAGGCCGAAACTCCTCATTGAATTGGGATTAGGAGCAATGTACGCGGGATGTGCAGGGTTGAAAGCGACGTGTTCGCCTCCCGGAGGACACGACGCTTCGCGTCAGCCCGCAAAACGCACGATGATTCCACATTTAATGATAGAAAACGGAGCAGCACTCATAGCAATAACCTAACGGACGCCATGTTTCGTTTGACGGCCCCACCGTTGACGTGATGATATATTAGACCGCGATTCATAGGGAGGACATTTGAAAGGCCGCTCAAGTTGTTGGAGATCCGCAATGTTGATCCACAATAAAGCAGTACACTAAAGCAATGACACTGTTTAAGGAAAAAATATTCGGTTTACTAGAAATTACTTGATCAACAAACTTATTTCAAATAAATGTTCTAGCATTCGAATAGTATGAATTATTCTTAAATGATAATATTGTCTTTTTCTGGTTGTTATAATCGATGTCAACGAGCCGTTAATGCGAAGCGTATGTGACGAAGACAGCAAGTGTGTTCGCCACATATAGAATTGTATAGTCTATGTCAAAAATCATCTGAGAAGTGAAGATGGCTGTGGAGTCAATGAGCTGTGTGCGCCAAATCCATTGATTAAAAAAGGCCAAGATAAAATGTATTTCCTTATTGTTTGTCACGCGATTTTCTGAAAAGAGAGAATAAACTACGAATAAAGCTGTGAAACAGCAAGTGATGGGAAGATGGTGAGGGAGCAGATTTGCTACTGGTATGGGTTCTCAAATGCTAGAAATTTTGAGACAAAGCGTCTGGGCGAGTCTGACAGGAGGCTGGTTTTACGATCCCCATCTCGACGTTTTTTCGAACCTCTTTCATCTTTATATTTGGCTTTTTCTGCTCTGCCTGCCACTCAGCATATATGTTGTAAGTTGATTTATACGTGCGTTAATCTTAGTTCGTAAATTAACGTTCACATAGATCCTATATGTTTACATTACTATGTAAGTAAATAATTAAAATATATACGTTATGTGTTTGCAATTTTATTCATTTGTTTACAAATACTTACATATCAAGTGTACTATATCTAACTCTTTCATAATTGTGTGCTTATCTATTTAACATACATAATCATTTTATCATCCTGTTACAGTATTTCCCACCAACACTGTATGTTTGGTTAGCATATTGTTTTTTGATTGGAGTACTTTTTGGTACAATAAAGTGTGTCAATCATGCGCTCCATTGTGTGTATGATACAACCGAATGTTTAGAAGAATCAGGTCAAAATGTCAGTCAACAAAGGTCAGAGAGCGAGAAAAGACGCATAGCACATAACAAATGCAGAGTACAATCTCAAGATCAAATAGATCATGGAATAGAGCTACAAGTTTTAAATGGTATAGTAGCTAAGATTTATTTATTTCAAATTTGTAACATAATTAATATGAGCAATTTTATTAATCTTCAATTTCAAAATATATTTATTTTTTAAATTGTGTATATTCTCTTGATTTGGTATACACTAAATGTAATAACTATATTATTATATTAATGTTTTTTCATAGGAAAAACAGACACACCACCTGTAGAATGCTCATCTCGTAATTCTTTCATCGAGTCAAATGCGCAAAATGCAGATGCAGATAGCATAACATCAGAATACAATCGAGATAAACCTAGTTCAACTATGGATTTGAAAGTAGAAATCCATAGAAAAAATAGTTCAGAAAGTTCAGAAGAAGCACAGCAGATGACTAAACAAATGGTACCGAGTATAAATGTACATGAAGAAGAATTAGCTGAAGAGTATTATGTAAATATAATAAATGGTATTAATTTTACAATTTTTATGTATACTATTCAAATACATTTTCTATACATTAATATCTATGTTTAAACTTTTCAAATACATATAGACATAAGTTTGACTCGAAATAAATGTATGACTATTGCTGATGAAAAAAGGAAAGAAAAAAGGAAGTTGTGTGGGCTTCCATCAGAAGATTTACGAAATCGTCATTCCAAACAGTGTAGTCTTGGTAAAACAGGTTCTGAAAGCCAAATTAAGCAAACAAGTTCATTGGAGTTGGAACATCATGGAGATGATTATTCTTATTGGAAATCTAACCAAAGTGTACGGCTCAATCCTAATTTCATTCCAATGGAAACTCACCTATTGAATGATCATCCACAAAGTTTAGAAATTATATCGAAGAAAGAAAACACAGATAAAAATAAGATTTCGTCGCATCCCCAATCTTTAGAGGTAGCGATTACAAGTATTTATAATTTTTATCTTTAACATATGTTCAATTAAAGTAAATATTATTTCTCCGAAGGTCATTACAAAAAAGCCACATCAACAACTTATTCATCCACAAAGTCTTGAAACAATTGGTGCTGCTAGTAAAAATATAAGTACTACAGATGACAATAATTTGCCGCTTCACCCGCAAAGTCTTGAAACAATCAATGCTAAAAAGGTATTTTCATAAAATTATTCTGTTACATAGTATCTTATTTACTTTATAAAATATATGTAATAAATTTTGAAGGTATTACCTCAAGCCACACTAAAAAAAAATCAGTTACAATTATTACCATATCTTAGTTGTGGATCAGAAATAGTGCATCCTATAGCAGAACAAAGTGACGAACAATTTGCTAACGAAAGTTCTGCAGGGTATACTTTCCGAGATTCTTACAGTCCATTACTTACTCGAAAAGCTTGTGAATCAAATGCTACCTCTAATCGGGATAGAAGTCTTAGTACTAGCCGATTTGTAGATAGATATTCAAGGTAACGTAAAAATTATAAGAATTATTAATTAAATTATGTTTATAAAAATGTCTTCCTTCAAATATATCTTGGTATTTAGATTTTATGGAGATGGTGGTATAGATAATGATTCTGCGAATTCTCGAGATGCGTTAATTGAAGAACTAAAGCCCAGTATCAAAAGAAGATACAGCAATGCAAGCCAAAGTAGTCATGATAAACTGAAGTATAAGCAAGATAAACTGAAGTATAAGCAAGAAAAAATGAAAAGTTTGGATGATCCATTGAATGCTGGAAGCGTGGTTGGTATAGATCGATTGTTTGAAGGCGGCGATTGCTCACTGGAACCAAGAACAAATAAGAGTATATTTATTTTATGAATAATTATTATTACATACGTAACTAAAATGACGCACATTAACGTATCTTTCCATGTTCAACAGATATGCATAATAAAGAACCAGAATCCGGTTCGTCTAGTACAACGACATTGAGTTTTGAAAACGAAGTGAAAAGAATGTTACTTCCGCCATTAGAAACAGATAACAAACGACACCAAGGTGCGATACCCAAACAAAGCCGTCCAAAACCTGCAGTAGAGACCACTGATGATAATAATACAACTTCCGAAAACGTTTGGACAAGACGTAAACGACCGGTAGTTATAATGTTCTCCTCTGGTCGAGATTTGACTAATTTAAGATTAAGTCGCAATTTGGATAAACGAGACATGTTAGCAAGACGAAACGCTCTAGCACCAGTATGGACACAAGACGAATTACGAGAAAAAATTCGAGACGACAGTGTTGTACCATTATACACTGATCTGTTCGATGAAAAAGGATTTGTGAATAATACATTGTTGCGACAACAACTGACTCATTTCCACGCGAACAGAGAGCTTGCAGATTCTCTGAGCAATAGTTATAGCAGTATGTCTTTAAATTCTGCTGGTTTAAGTGTCTACATAGATACTCCACCCGTTCTATCGAGTCCAGAAAGCAACCAAACGAAGGCACAAAATTCAGTAGCATCGAATTTAGTCTCTTCAAATCAGTGTACCATAGAAACTTTAGGACGAGATCAATTTCATCAAGACATAATATCGCGTATAGGGACAATGACGGATAGAAATCGAGGATTACAAAATTTATTAGAGTATTTCCATTTAAATCTTTATCAGTCTGCTTCGAATTGGAGAATGCCTGCTTTAACGTTACCAACTCATCAAGAAGATATAAGATTATCGTGGAATCGACTAGCTGCCTTTGATGTATTTAATTCAAAACCTAAACAGACAGGTCATTATTATAAGTGGAAAATAGGCAAATTACCGCATATAAAAGTGCGATTCGATCGTTTGTTTTTATTGGTTTTGCTAGACCAAAATTTGACTATTTTTGAGACCATAGTCTCCACACTTTTAGCGGTGGCTGTTGCAGGACTAGGTCTTATATTACTTCAACAAGGTCTCTATCGAGATATATTCGCTTTTATGTTCTGTTTTGTAACAGCCGGGTGTCAGTATTCATTATTAAAATCTGTTCAGCCTGACGCTGCTTCACCGACACATGGTTTTAATCGCATTACAGTATTTTCTCGGCCTATTTATTACATACTATGTTCAGGATGTATATTAATCTTTAATGAATGCTTGAGAAACTTTAAACAATCTGAGTTTCTAATATACGGCTTTCGAGTTGCTGATTACGATGTTATATTACAAATTCGAAATGTTTTATTAATTTTTCTTCTATGTTTTCCAATCGTGTTTTCATTAGGTTTATTTCCTCAAATTAATACCTTTTTAATGTATCTATGTGAGCATATAGACATTCATTTATTTGGTGGAAATGCAACAACCAGTCTAGTCTCTTCACTATATTGTCTCTGTCGCAGCATTGTCACTGTCGTTATACTATATGGATTTGCTTATGGAGCAATTACAGAACCCAAATCCTCGCAACATATTTTGTTCTCGGTTTTTGCGGGTTTATTAGTTGCTATATCTTATCATTTGAGCCGATCATCCTCAGATCCTACTGTTATATGGGACATTGTTAAAGTAAGTTTATGGCCATCAGAAATTTATACAGAAGAGAAAGAAGCCAAGATCATCGAGAATACATCTCGTAAAGATAATATGTCGGCAACATACGAGGAAACGAAAATTAGAACATCAGGAAGAAAAAAACATGTGAAAATTAAAGTTGGTGAACAAATGTCGGATGCGGAACTAGTGGATCCTTTACCTAAAAAATTAAGAGCCACAGTGTATGCAAGATTGAAGAATGATTTAGTGATATGCGCTGTAATAGGTACCTTATCGTTTGGAATCCACTGTTCCACTGTATTTACAGCTTTACAACCCGAACTGAATCCAGTTTTGTGGGGTATCGTAAGCTGCCTAGGATTTCTGTTACATTACATAGTGCCACAGCTTCGAAAACAATTACCATGGTTGTGCTTATCGAGGCCAGTACTGCGTAGTCGTGAACATGCACAATTTGAAGTACGTGAGCCAGTAAAGATCATGTGGTTCGAAAAGGCGTATGTTTATCTTTCTTTCATAGAAAGAAACGTTCTATATCCAATAGTATTCCTAGGAGCGCTCACCGAATGTTCCTCAAAAATTGTAAACAAATTTGGAGAAAGCGTGGGCACATTAATCATAGTTGTATGCGGATTGAAGTCTTTGAGATCTTCATACTCTGATCCATCGACACGATACCTAGTTCTAATCTTTGCAGTGTTATTCTTCAAGTTAGACTTCCGAGAACGTAGTGAAACCTTTCTCGTCGATTATTTTGTCACTGGAATAGCATTTGCAAAGATTTACGAATTATTGTTGAAGATAAGATTTGTTGTTACGTATATTGCGCCTTGGCAAATCACCTGGGGCAGCGCGTTCCACGCTTTTGCCCAACCGATATCGGTCCCACATTCTGCCATGTTATTCTTGCAAGCAGGCATTTCTGCTATTCTAAGTACTCCATTGAGTCCACTTTTGGGAAGCGCAATTTTTATATCTTCATACGTGCGTCCTGTGAAGTTTTGGGAAAGAGATTACAAAACTAGGAGAGTGGACCATTCAAACACACGTATGTCTTCGCATTTAGATCGTAATCCAGGTGCGGATGACAATAATCTGAATTCAATTTTCTACGAGCAACTAACGAGATCGTTGCAACACAGTCTTTACGGAGACCTCGCTCTTGGTCGCTGGGGAAACGTGGAACAAGGCGATTGTTTTTTATTAGCATCCGATTACTTGAACTGCTTAGTGCATATTGTACAATTGGGAAATGGGTTAGTAACTTTTCAATTAAGAGGTCTTGAATTTAGAGGAACATATTGTCAGCAAAGAGAGGTATGTGTGTTTCCATTAAATACTAATCATTGTAAATTCATTCTTGCATTTAGTGTGAGCATAATGATTCTGGTTTCCAGGTGGAAGCAATCTCTGAAGGTATCGAAGAGAATGATGATTGTTGTTGCTGTGTAATGGGGCATTTCTCAAATGTGTTGAGTGTAAATGCAGCTTTCAGTCAGCGTTGGCTAGCTTGGGAAGTTGTAAATGCCAAGTATGTTTTAGAGGGATACTCAATTTCGGATAATTCAGCAGTTTCTATGCTTCAAACGTTCGAGTTCCGCAAAGCATTGGTTACCTTCTATGTGAAAAGTATTATTTTTTACACTGTCAAATCGTCAAAGTTGAAATACTGGTTAGGAAACGCTGATATTTCTGAGGCCTTAAAAATAACCCTCGACAAGAATTTCGTGGATCTAGATCCCGTTTTCAAAATGAACATCGATGAGGATTACGACTTTCGCGCTATTGGAATTACAAGAAGCAGCTTTTGTAACGTTTATTTGGATTGGATACAATTCTGTGTTACCAAACATGATAAGGTATTTTCTTGTAATACACCAAATTATTTAAAAACTTACACAGTACTTCAATTTTTTAAATTTTCTTTAGACGCTAGATAAATCAAGGGATTCGCCATTGGTATCTTTATGTCTTGCATTAAGCCTTTTGGGAAGACGCGCTTTGGGTGCCGCATGTCATAATACTGTGACAAATGTTGAATTTTTTATCTATGGATTACATGCACTTTTTAAAGGTATTGTTTTACTTAAACTTATATATCAGTTCAATATTAACATTTAATAAATTCATGTCTTATATCCAGGAGACTTCCGCATAACATCAGTTCGAGATGAGTGGGTGTTACACGATGTAGATTTATTGCGCAGTGTTGTAGCAAAAGGTCTAAGAATGGCATTGAAACTACATCAAGATTATTTCATGAGTCCAGACTTATACGTGGAATTAGCTCCTCTTTACGATGCTATAGGCAGTCACGATAAAAATCTTGTAATTAGTCATGAAGCTGACCCAATGTGGAGAAATGCTGTTTTAAATGGTGCACCCAGTCTTCTAGCGCTTAGGTATTTTTACAATACACCATTTTAATGTTTCCAAATATTATAGAATTATTACATTGATAATGCATTGTCTGCACTCCATATTTCCAGGTACGTACTCGAAGACGGCATGGACGAATATAAAGTGATTATGCTTAATAAACGATTCTTAAGCTTTCGAGTAATTAAAATGAATCGTGAATGCGTGCGTGGCTTATGGGCTGGGCAGCAACAGGAATTAGTATATCTAAGAAATCGAAATCCAGAGCGTGGTTCAATACAAAACGCGAAACAGGTTCTCAGAAATATAATAAATAGCTCTTGCGATCAACCAATCGGCTATCCAATTTACGTTTCACCATTGACAACCAGTTACGCTGAGACTAACGAGCAATTGTGTTCCTTGGTCGGAGGACATATAAGTCTGTGTGTAATTAAGCGTAATGTCTTCAAATTATGGGAAAGGTAAGCCAGTACAATAGAATGCTACTAATCATATTTGATCAATATCTAATACAATGTAAAATCTATTATCATTGGAAATATATTTTCAGAATCAGAAGAAGATGCGGTCAAGGCTGTTCTTCTGGTGGAACAGGATCTCAAGATGATGGAGGTTTTGGAAACGATGGAGTATATGCAATGACCACCTACAATATTCATTCAGGTATGTAAACTTATTACTTTTTATCAATTTCAATTAGATGGCAACATAAAATGAGGTTTTAACATAGGGTATGGTCAGTCGGGTTACAACACATCTGGTTCACAATCTATAGATTCCGGATGTCAAATCGGTGGATCAACTGGCCGTGGTTCTTTAGGAAGAGCAAATACAGCATCTCTTGGTGGCAACAGAGGATCATTAGCTTCAGTTGGTAAGCCCACGAGCTCAACATTAGCCAGTTTAGCTGGTCTTCTTAGCAATACCGATATTAAAACTGAAACTAAGAGTGAAACCAGCTTTTCTGGTAAAGTTGAAAAAGAAGAAGTTCTCCAAAGAGTGCGTGTAAGTAAAGAAAAACAAATTTAATTTTATGATTTTAATTTTTATGATCTAAAAAATGTTCTAATAACTTTACTTATTAGATCATAGATCCCAATCAAGTATACGATGCAATTAACCTGGGTCGTCGAATAGATGTAATTTGGCCTGATGAAAGAATGAGACAACAGGGTGGCAGATCTGGATGGAAACATTGGGTACCCGAAAGAGGTATGGAGGGATGTGTTGTTCATTGTTGGTTTCCTAATCATCGTGATCCGAATCGACGATCTCACGTGGATAAAGTCATCTTACTTGTCAAAATTGACGATAAATATGTTCCGGTAGCGGAACAGGGTGTACGAGATTTAGGAGCAGAAGTGTGATGAAGTATTTTTGAACATTCTGTAGTGATACACATTCTGACAATTTTCGTACAGACATTTTAAAAAAAAAGAAAACACCGTGGTTATTGATATTAACACATTAAAAATGAAAATTCATTCCAACATAAAGTAATAAATACAAAGATTTTTGATGGAAAATTATTCTTGAAATTGTACATAATGAAAATCGACGAATTTTAAAACTAGTTTGTTAATTCAATTATAATATATAACTATGAAATACTCTTCTCTATTTCAACCTCTCGGAGATTTTCATTCATTCAACACTTCTTTTCATTAACATTATTCACTCGCTTCTGCATTTCTCCCATCGCGATCATTATTCAGTAATTATAGATTTTCAGAAACATTTTGGAGAAAATCGTAACTTTGAAAAGTTTGCATAAATCATGATTAAATATTTTGCCACTTCCAACTATGATTCAAATATAACTTCTTACGTGGTTACTGAGAAGACTAATGTCAATCGCCAAGTTATTCAATGCAAGGTAAATTGTACCATGTTGTATTATACTGTGTATCATATAACTATTAGATAATTTAATAGTTAATGGGAACTACATGTTACTTGTTGTTACAATAAATTATTATATTTATCACTTGGACATAAAACCAGAAATGAGTATATTAAAGTTATTTTTCGTTGATTTGCTGCGTAAAAATCATTTAATTGTTTATTATTTGTAATTATACAGAATCTTCTCTGTTCATTGTATGCAAAAACGAAGAAAGTACAAAAGCTATTAACTGCGTCAATATATATTTGTATCCTAAAGTTATAGCGATGTGATTTATAGGAAGTAACTAAATTTCGTTAGTTTATAAGTATAGAAAATGCTGTAGATGATCATAAATTGTTGTATTTGTTAAAAAGAAGTAAACATCTTTTAGTGTTATTATTATCAAATGTACTCATTCAACAACAACAAGTAACAGTAGAAATTTGTATATAATGTCATTCGTTTTTTTCTACATTTTGTTACATTTTTTTTAAACGACTCAATATAGATAA